GCTGGTTTGACGTTACAACATCAACAGCTATGTGGCAACACCAAACGTGTATATTTCTATCCACTCACACTTGCTCATATAACACAAACAGCCTGAAGGCAGGGGACATGTGACACAGTGTCCGGTCAATATCCCAGCACGGCACATTGAATCATGAAGACTTTGACCAACTTCAGCCAACTCTGCACCTGTACACTGTAAGTACTAATGTTGACAGGAACATGTTCTTTGTTTTGTTTGTTTTTTTTAGACCAAGTAAAATGTGTTTAATGACTGCTGATCATGACTGTATAAATACATGACATTTAAATACAGCAGTACTTTAAAATGTCGCATAAACAGTTAAAACATTTAAAACTATGGACGTTTTATATTATATAAGATGCTAAAAGCAAAAATGAGTTAAACCAAAGTTTGTCGTTACGACCCTTTGCATTGAAACCAAACTGTACATAATACATAACTGTACATAAACACATAAACTTGCACCAATTAAATCTTGGAAAACTTTCGGTATTTCGGGAAGCTCGTATCTCAAGGCCCCAGTATACATGTAAAACATATGTGTATATATATATATATGCAGTATATGTGTGTATGTACACATATACAGAAATATATATGTATACATATATATAAATGTCTCATATACAGTATATATATATATACATAAACGGTACCTGATTTATGCAGAAGAAAAACTGAGAGTTTTAAGAATTTTGTCCTAACCTCAATTTAAATAAGACTAAACTTGACTTATATTTGTAACTAAGTCATTTGTAAACGTATTTTCCATAATATTTAATTTAATTAAAGTTGTATTTAAGAAACAAAAACAAAGGTGCAGTAGGGGCAGCAGTATCTAGTACACTGGAGCTCCCTGCAACCCTGAGCAAAAAGCACAGATTGTTCCAAATCACTTGTATGAGGAGGGGGTTTTCAATAAACAATAGGCTATTAGATGGATTTGACCCCTAGTTCACGTGTGCAGTACATTGGTTGTTGACTTGTGTCAGACCGTCGTTTAGCACACTTCACTGAACTTTGATTTGAACTGGTCTTTAGCTCCACACCCTGATTGGTGTTCTCTAACTGCTGCAGATTACTTCATGGTTTTCTGGGTGACACAAGAAATGATCAGAAATGTCTCCAGTGAATATTCCCACAGGAAACGCCATTGTTTGTTTTCTGCTTAAAGATAGAGAGGGAGGACTTTTTCAGCACCAGATAAAACCACTCCCACCACCCAAACAGAACTAATGACAGGAGAGAGTCAGAGGTTTGGTGCTTGTATCAACTAGTCTAAAAATCAAACTAGCACCCATGAACTCCCTTGGTTTAATATTTCACCCCTGAGAACCACAGTGAAATCCCAGAGGACTGACCAGTCGTCTTTCACATTCCAGCCCACAGGGATTCACACACACACACACACACACTGACTTCTTGTGGAGACATGAAGTACAAACCACTGTTAGAGCTGACAAGCACCAAAACAAAACACTTGTGCGTTACTTTTGGCAGACTGTGCACGTCACACTTTCCTCACAAACACACACTAACAGACACACACAGATAACAGAGTTGCACACACCTTGTCTTCCACAGCCACATCAGGACTGTTCCGTTTCGTCCAGGTCAGTAACTGGCCCATGTTGACACAAAATGACTCCGCCTGGCTCTAGTGTGCATCTGTTTCTGTGTGTGTGTGTGTGTGTGTGTGTGTAGTTGTGTCCGTTAGCTTCTTCCCTGTCTGCCGACTCACAGCATGCTTCGGAATGGAATACAAGGAATATAAGAGAAAGAGGGAGGGAGGGCAGGCAGGAGGAGGTGTGGTCACGGCTCTGAGTAGGAAGTCACAAGAGGCAGAGCTATAAAACTCTGAGGGCTAGAAAAAGAAGTGAGCTGAAGGGACACCTGATGAAGAAGATCATCTGAGCTTCTGAGAAGATGCTGCACTTTCATGACAACAGAAAGAAAAAAAAAACCATTAATGTACTTTTTATATTTATCTTTACTGAGGCTACTGTGTATCCACAGAGAACACACTGACTAATAAAACCCAAATGCAGCTTAAACAACAGTGAGGCTTTTACCAACTTTTTGTTTGAAGATAAAATCAGCTTATACCTTTGTTTAGCAAAAGATCTGGTATCTGTGTTTTTAAAATGAGGAGCTTTGTCTTTCGTAAGGACAATTTTCCATACGCTACAGTGACCTCCTGACCCTCACACCACATGCACACACACACTGATGTTAATGCTTTGTGAGCACTTCAGATAGACTTTTCTATCTATCTATTTCAGAGACCCTTAACTACTACAAGTATACAGGCTTAATCTCTTTTTAACTTTAATCCAATCCTGATTATAATTCCAAAACTCCAAAATACCAATGAAGGAAAAAGTATCCACATAACAATGGTATTTTCCCAAATGTTCCCACCAGTACAGATAAACAGACACACTGAGATACAGTATACACACACTGGCTCCCATAGATGCATGCACACACGCATGCACATAAACAGACCCACATACTCACTTATCAGCTACGATAAGAAAAGTTGTGTAACTCTCCCACTTAACAGGCTGGGAGAGGCCAGATTTGATTTTCCTCTACGTTCAGGTAAAATTCAGTTCAATCATGACGGCTCATTCCTCTGGGACAGGAACAATAACCCCCACCCCAGCAGTGATAAAGGACCTGGTCCTGGCTGTGTCAACATCTGGTCACATGGTCAGAATGTTACCAGATATAAACCACTGCTCCAGGTTGGCCTGTAAACCAAAAAGCATTTACTGTCTACCGTTCATAACAAGGCAAGGCTCCAACATTAGCTAAAGCGCTGCGAGCAATATTTACATGGAAATTGCTGCTGATGGTATATTAGGAAGGGGCTACAATGACACACCAAAAACTTAAATAGACTTCCAGTGGTCTGCAGTGAAGCACTCTAGGCCTGCGTAGCCTGCATAGGCTGTAGGTATGTAGCCCTCTGAACTGAAGACAACGGTTGTTTATATACGACTTGGAAAGATAATCCACGTAGTAAACCTTTAGAATGTATAACATTTTGAATAAATTAATTTAAAGGGTTTTCTTAAAAAAAAAGAAGGTAAAAATGTACTAGAATGCTTCTGTGTTTTTATTTGAGGTATTTTATAATCTGTTTGTAGGTACCTCACTTACTTCCTGCATAATGACGCTATTTAGCTTGTTCTTCATCTATATCAGTCCTGAAGAACGTCACCTGAAGCGGCTTAACCCACGCTCTACTGTACATGAAAGTTACGTGTGGGTTAAATGTCTATGATCAACAGACTGTTCAATGGCAATAAATTGATGGCAATTATCAAACTGGAATCCAGGGAGTGTTTGTTTAAAAACCCTGAAGGCATAAAGGTGTTGGCACTTGAACCCTCACCCACAATCATAAGATCAAAACATTTAGTTGTTTTTAACCTTTTCAACCACACGGTAAGAGCGCATACAGAGTGAATGCCTTTTCTGAAAAGAAAAACAAAACTGACAGAGTGTTATTAAAACCAGTGGTTTAAGTGCAGAAGAGTATAGTGTAGTATAGTGTAGTATAGTGTAGTATAGAAGTCATATCTGAGCCTGTAGGTGTCTTGACTGTACTGTATCTCCCTGGGCAGTGCAAGGGTGGAGTGAAGTCAGCCAAGCCTCTTTAACTCAACAGTGTTTTAAAGCACACCTCAGCAAAACATGAAAATAATGTTTGAACAAGTCTGACACGAAAATCAACCTTAAATAGAACCTGGGGAAAAGGTCACTTATACAGTGAGTCAGGGAAAATTCCATCCTCACTAATAATGAGCCCAGCTGTCATGAACACCTGCTGTTACACTGGTACAAAGTGGGCATTGAATTTAAAATCAGTCTGTTTTGGAGGGGCTACAGTTGATGCTGGCACGTTGGCCTTTTAATTAAGGCAATTTGTTTGTAGTGAAGTACAATGTAATTCAATGGGCCCTCCAGTCTAGATGAATCTGAACTGGATTAAGATGAGAAAGCTTCATTAAAATAGCTGATAGGTACATATCATGATGACATCAGGTGACAGGTCTGAGCACAACGAGCTCTACCGTCAAAACATGTCCAGGTGACGTTTCACCTACTTGTCTGAATGTAAGCCCTAACCCAAACTGCTGTATCAGAATCAGACACATACACGGTGATATCCGGAAATGTTGAAAGTACAGACACCTACATACCCAATGAATTAAAGATAGAGAATAACTGTATTACAGACTTTACAGCCTGTTGACGAAAACTGTACGAGTTCAGACTATACAAATAAGATTACGTCAAATCAAGAAAAACACATTAAAGGTTCATTTTGAGTGTCCTGTTGACCCCATCCCTGACCTTCATGTCATCATTGTGTCATCCTCTTACGTAAGTGTCAGATATGTCTTTGTATTGTTCTTAATGCTGTAATGTAAATGCTCTTTGTTTTTCAGAAGGGGCCAATTGACAATGAACCTTAAAACTGTTAAAATGTCAGAGAACAAAGGCACAGTTGACGCTAACGGGTTTTTTATTTTATCAATTTAGAGTCATGGGTGCACGAGAACTGAAGTTACAAAATGTTCTAAACAAAAATCTGCATCAGTCACAAGTTTCTTTAGCATGTATACGTGGACAATGCCTGAGGTTCAACAACTACAATTGGATGTATATTTAATAACAAATTAAGCTTCAGATTACTTTTTTATTTGGTATTATTATTAACATTTCTCCTTCTCTTTCTCTCTGTACTTTACATATTAGCCGTAAATGTTAATTTCTTGCTCAAACTGATGCATCAGTAGCTGGGTATCACATCATGCCTGGTCAGAGACACAAACTGTCATTATTTATAAATAATTGAATTTGAGCCAGATTGCAAATGTTTTCATAAAAGAAATGTTTTGGAATCAATAAGATCAACCACAGTTGTTATTTTTACTCAGTAATCCACACTGGGGACTTACTTGCTTATCATTTGTGGTTTTCGATTCCCAACACGAGTCTAGGTCTTGGTGAATGTCACTGTCAAGGCGAGGTTTCTTTCTCTGCAAATGTGATGAAAATTTGACAAAATGAAATTTTGAAGTTTTAACTGCTGCTACTGCTACTACTATTACTGCTACTACGACTACTACTGCTGCTTATAATAATAATAATAATAATAATAATAATAATAATAATAATAATAATACAATTTGATCTACTAATACAAGCAGAAGTAGTTAATAATAACATTAATAATAATAATAATACAACAATTTGATCTACTAATTATATTATTTTACCATAACCATTGACAGGATAATGTCTGTGATTCTATGAACAGAATTGGTTTCTCTTTAAAGACAAAGAAACTCACTTCCGAAAACAACAGAGAATTTCCTGTTTTTTTTTCTTCTGAGGAACACCTGAAGTGTTTGGTCTGCAGGTCTTTACATTGTTAAACTCTTTTCGGCTATGTACCCATGTATACATGTTCCTCAAAAAACAAACCAACTGACTGGACAGCGTTCACTACAGTATGTGATGATAACTGTGACTTTACCAACATCTCAGGCATTAAAAATATTGAATCACAAAACTGGGAACAGAGGAACACGACTTTTTGTGGTTCGAGACAGCTGAGACGTCAACTGCTTTATAGATTTGGTCTGATGGGAGGATCACAGAGTCCCACTTTGAGAAAACATGTTCCAAACTGAGTCTGTGTGTTCACATCACACTGGAATGAAGTCACACAAGTCTGTTCTGCATTGCTGTTTTCTTTCACGTGTCTCAGTTTGAACAAAACAAACACGGGTGAATCTATGGTCCTGCACAAGTACAATACCGCACTGTGTGATATGTGTGCGTTTTATTCCTTAAGCATGTTGCAGCACACAAGCGCTTACGTAAAGGTCATGGATGCATGTGTGTGCTAACACGGCACAAATAGACAACCATACCAAACCCAACCTACAGTATGATGTCTGTGACACACCTTTGGCAATGGCACATACCAAATTGCCCAGCCAGCAAAACCAGACGGTGCATCAAGAGACACATTATGTCTTGGGTTTTATTTTCTTAGAAATCAACCTACATCAGGAGAGTGAACGTTTAAATGCAGACAAACAAAGAAAAGCAATACAGCGGCACTCTGCCCTGAAACAGTCAGCACTGGAAAAATATTTAGCACACATGCCTGTTTAAAAAGAGCAATTGTTTCGCTAAAAACAGCTACAGGGTATTGTCAATGTAGTTAAATGGGCAAGAAAAATGTTTCTTTAAATAAAAAAAGATAGCTCAACTTTAGCAAAAAATATATACATGTATAATAAAATAAGAATTAAATAAGAAAATAATGGCAAGAAATATCCAAATGAGGCATGAATTATGCAAATAGTAAATCTAAGATAACTAGCTGACCAAAAGTTAGAAGTTTTTAACTTGGAATTTCTCTAGATGATTAAAGTACAACGACCCTAATATTGAGCAAGGTATTAAAATTACTGTGGGGAAAGATTGTGCAACAGTACCTATACTTAACCATGAGTTAAGTATAGGTAACTGGACATGACTGCTGACCTGCTGCTCATCTCTATATTTAGCACCACATCACACACAGTCCTACAGTGGTACAGTCCTGGTACTATATGTCATGACTTTGCCTGTCACCACCTGACACTGCTACCCCTTCACTTGGCGTCTGCAACCACCACACAGGAAGTTGATCAAAAATAACTGTCAGGTGCAGATCCCAGCTAGCCTGTTATGTAAGAACCCTGTGGGAAATTTAAATTTGAACAGAAATCAACTAAATATTATAAACAACACTACAGAATAATGAAAATCAATGCATTTTTTAATGCAGATAAGTTCTGAAAAGATTTTTTTTTAATGCAGATATAAGTTCCGAAAAGATTTTTAAAAACTACTGAATTAATTTGACCTGTTTACAGTCAACAAACAAAAAAAGTCAGTTAAAGTGTTTTAATGCTCTGTAAGATTAGGTTTAACTCTGGTATTTATCTTTGTTCATTTTCGTGTCGCTACTGTACATGAATTCCAGTGACAGCCACCAGGTAACTCAGGTCAGTCCTACACATGAGGAGCTCTTATCTTGAAAGTATTAAAAACTGTCAAAGTTCCAAAATGTTTGTACACAGCAGAGGGAGACAAACACACACTGATGTTTTCCTGTCAGTGGACCGTAGTCCAGTAAATACATAACAATCACCAAAGGTTTTGCCAGTAATACCAATGCAAACTCTGGCTGCAGCTGAAATGGAATTGTCTTATCTTCTTTCAGGTAAATAAATAATTAACTGTTATAATTATCTTCTGTCATTTCCATTTTGTTTTTGTTTTGTGAGTTTCGTTTTTGTTTAATCTCTGAGCCAAAGTACATAGACCATGTTAACAATTATGGGAAGTTGGGCCAAATCATATCTTCAAATCAAAGGCTTTAGTTAAAACAGTTTCGAAATGTTCAGGTTTCTCAGCCCAGATCTTTATTTAATCAAAGATCTGTGGTGCAACATTGTGTATAAGTAAAACCAAAAGAATCTAAATGAATGTTATACAATTGGACATATAACACATGCTGTATAAGCAGAAAAGATATAAATACAAATGTGCAGAATTAGTCAAATTATTAGACTCAAATGTGCAGTAGGTTGGTAAAACAAAACAACTCAAAGAGGGAGAATATTAAAGAACAAAAAAAACAAACAGAACTACTCAACTCACCTTCCTTGGATAATCCGTAACAGGTTTTCACCACAACCAGCTACTAGTTAAGGAGTGGTATGTGTTTTCCTGCTGCAGTGCAATCTCTCGTCGCCCACATGGCTGGTTTATTTAAGTTAGTCGATAATATCAGAAGGTTTTTGCAGGTATTTAAACATCAGGATTGACGACAGAAGCAGGACTAAGTTGTAGGATTTGTTCTGTCATGATACAAACCATTTACTAAAACATTTAAAGGCATCATAAAGGTGAATAAGTTATTGACTCTTCTGAGTTAAACAGCAGAGTGAGTAGATGAAGAGTCTACATCTCACCAAGTCACTTTATTGGTGCGATGGTTTGTGTTATTTTTTTTATTGAAAAATGTTTATGAAGACATCTCAATGTGATATCAGTAATAATACTGATGTAACCTTTATTTTCTATGCACTTATGTAAAAAATATTGGTTTTTATACAGATAAAAAAATGAATTTAAATATTTTATAACCACTGTTTCACATCAACAAAAGTTCATTAAGAATCAACTGAAAAGGGAACTTTTTTGACCCTGTGCTACTGTTCTATTGAATTGCATTTTGATTCTCTGAACACTTTCTAAATTCCATCAGTTTTTTTTTATGTAAAGGAATTTATCACCAGCTATCAAAAATGTAATGATTCTGATTCAATCACAGTAGAACAAATGTCTTTTCCAACTTATGGAAAATATAAATACAGACAAAGACGACTGTAATATTATGAAAAAAACTAATGGTGCATATAGTGGTTTCTGTTGGCAAACATAGGTTTGTCATAGACATCTAAGTGCGTTGTCTCTTATCAGCTCTGTCCAAGGTTGAGACACTGAGGGTTTTGCTGTTCTTACACAATATTAGTTATTGATTAGACTCCTTAACTACAATAACAAAAATAATCTGTGAAAAATGTTCAACAATAGGAATTACTAGCGTTTTCTCTTATGGTCAAGAGCCTGTGACACAACCAGCAGGAACAATATGTGGAAAAGGCAACAAGGAGTCAGTAAGAAGGAGGAGGACAGATACCTTACAATAGGTGTAACCCACAGTGGGATAGAAAGCCAAAGACATGCTGCCACATTGGTCTCCATGAGCTGCTCCTTTATGCTACACGACAAACACAAACAGGCATGTACAAAAATACACATTTATATTTATACACAGATCATTATTTGAACAGTTTAGTTGTTGTGGTGTTTGGAAAAAATCTTATCCAACAATTTACATAAAGGATACATTTAATGACCCAGTTGGTACTATATTAAATTATACTGTATGACTCTAAGAATCCAAACTCACCAGAGTTTCGACCTCAGCATTGTCAGAATACTTTTAAAGCTGGTTTTGCTAAAAAAGAAATTGGCTTATCTTTTAGTTTATTTTTAGAATGTTGGTAGAATGTTTTGATAAAATGTGCTATTCCTTTTTAATTAATATTTATTTTTAAACAAATTGTTACTTTTTTTGGTTTACTTCTCAATATTTCTAGGTGAATATTTTTTGATTAATTGTGAATTTATACTTTTCTCAAACATTAAGCCATTAGCCACAGACTTACTTTTGAGGGAATTTACTGTATTTAGTTAAAAAAACATATATATATATACACTATAAGGCACTGACAGAACAAACTTGAAATGAATCAATCTTAAGCAACTCAAGCTGCAGTCTAGTCTGCTGTGTATAAACTGAGTGTGAGCACAGCTTATCTAAGTAACACACCCTCATGATTTGAGTAAATACAAGTTTTTGACACTACTCGTTAAACCTGCAGTTGTGAATCTAAAAATCTAAAGAAAGTATTTAAAGCTCGACTACACTGGCAGATTAACATAAGTCACAAGTACCAGCAGAGACTTAAGGCTTGATATAAGAGCTGATCTTAAAATGTATGGCTGCAGGGTTGAGGTGGAGACATACAAAGACACTGAGCTAATGTACTCACGAGACTCATCCAATACGCTGCATAAGCCATTATAAGGAAGCCGGAGCCAAGGAAAAAACAGCCAAAATGTTCCTGCCAGCCGTTCTACGCTCTTTCTCCTTCTGGTGTTTGCCCTCAGCAGCAGTTCTGTGCTGTCATGTCTCTCCAAACACCGTGAGTGCCACTCCCCACTCTCTCTGTTTCACACACACATGCACACGTTAGTAGCTGGACAACACTTCCTCTTACTCATATACTTCATCGTAATCATACTGGAAATAAGAAACAATAGTGCTAGATTTGGACTCTCCTTGAGAACTTGCAATAACAGAACCTGAGGTACCAGGCACCAAATATCACACACAATGTTGCCTAAAATAGAGAGAGAGCCAGTTGGAGGGAGAGAGACAGAAAGCAAAAGCTCCAGAAAGAAAACTGGATCTACCAAGTCAGTGTTTCCACCCACACCGAACTAAGGTGATAAGGGTTTGGCCAAATTGTTTCAGCCTGATGCATCTGTGGTCAGGCTGGAACTGATGGATTGCACAACTTCAGTCCTACAGCAGCATTTTCAACCTTTATCCCACATTTACTATTGTATTCAGAGAAGAAAGGGGATGGGGGGTGAGAGCAGACACAACATTTGCCTACTTAAAAAAGTAGACTTGATCTCAGGGAACAATGAAGATGTAGAGAGGTGAAACCATTACAGCAGCCCTTCAAGTCATAAAGTCACAAACAGAACAGAATTGTTTGTCAAATGTAGACTCTGAATGAAACTTTCTGTGTCAAAGGGACAAAGCCTACTACTACAACCTCATTGGAGCATGGCTTTGTTTAGTAAGGTATCAGGAGCCAACACACTGTGGTTAGGTCAACTTAAGGTAGGCGTCCACCCTTAGAGCTTGGAATCAAACTACTGACCGTCCTGCAGTAAATGCTGAACAATTTCCATCATCCACAATGCACCCATCAATCCATTCATTCAGCCATGACCTTGGTTTTTTCAGGCCACATGTTAAACTGTCCAATTAACTTAATCCCCAGACTGAAATATCTGAAGAAACCGTGTACACGCTGTCCAATTAACTTAATCCCCAGACTGTCAGATGAAATATCTGAAGAAACCGTGTACACAAATGGAGAACATGAAAACTGCATACAGAAAGATAAAACAAATACTGCCGAGACATGTAGCATCATCTCCTTGCGGGGATGCAAGAGCACTTACCACCACGGCACCTTATGGTCCATTCAGGAGTCATTAGACTGAAATTGCTCAATAATTATAATACATAATAATAATTGATTTTTCAAAAATAGTTATCCATTTGTGACATGAATGATTAGTAATTTCTTTAATAATGCAGTTGGGCTGTCTGTCTGTCTATCTATCTATCTGTTTATCTGTCTGAAGTGGTTATCTCTAGTGGTTATATTCTTGAATGCCTCAGAGGAGGTCCTGGTTTGAAGGCCATCAAGTCCCCACTTCTCTATCCTGACAGGGAGGGTGGGTCAGGAATGTCATCCAGAGTAAAAAGTGCTGTATCCACTCTATACCAACTTTACTATGGTCAACAATGATTCAGGGAGACACAAAAGTAACTATTTTTATTTTAGGGAGACACAAAAGTAACTATTTTTATTATTTTTAAATATATACTATACTATTTTTAAAGATTTAAAAGAATCTATCATTGTCAAAGGATAGCCATAACTTTTAAGTCCTATTAGGAATCCAAAGTCCACTGAACTATCTCATGGGATCGTAAGGAATCCTACAGTAGACTGACAGAGTTCCAGTCACAGACTGAGAGTGAATTTGAAATGCTCCATAAGGATTATATGAAATGCAAACAGAACTAATAAACTGAAATTCACCTTCTCTTTAAACAGAGACATAACAAGTGAAACAACAACACAGCCAAACACTGTTACACCATAGACTGTGTGTAAGTAAGTCAGTGAAGACAGTCAGGTTTTAGAAGAGAAGTAGTGTAAAACTACACACTGTTAAATAAATTACCACTGTTTTAGAAAAACTCATGCAGTTAAGGCATGATCCCAGTTGTATGTATGTAGCAGGTACATGACACTTAATAAACATACAGTATATGGGAAAGCTGAACTGATGCAAACCTATGCCCCTCATATTACCACTGGTTATAATCATATTGGTGAACAAGTAGAAGAAAAGCTCTGTTTATTCATGTTTGTTTTGATGTATGTTTTAATCTTCAATGTGAAGGAGTTTTTAAGCCTCATGGAAACATCCATCTCAACTGTAACCCTGTTATTATCATTGCCATAAAATATAAAACTGACGCAGCAAAGAAAACAAGAAATGTGGTCTGCTCTCTCTACAATTGTACAAAAATAAAAAATGTAATACACTTTTTACTTTTGTACTTTGTACAAAGTACTACCACTCCATTACCACAGTTATTTGAAAAGTGTTATGTGATTTTATGTGAGACTTGTTTGACTTCGTACTTGTCTTGGGCTAACATATACTACATTTAGGCTTGTTAATTTTTTTTCTTTTACTTGACACATTTGACAGAAAGCAGTGTCTAACGTTCAAGCACTTTCTGTCAGACTCATTTTCAGTGTTTTGTGTTCATTTGTAGGCAGAATATGCTAAGAATTGGTTCCAAACTAGCTTAACTTTGTAACACTTTTCTCTAAAACTCTGTTGCACTGCAAGTTAAACTAAGCGTCCATCATGCTCGGTATTACTGCCTTATTGCGACATTACACATGGGAAGCAGTGTAATTTCGTCTGTATTAAATCTGCTAGAACATGATTTGTTCTTTCCCTGCTTTATCGGTAACAAGCATCAGTGATGTGTTTAGTGGCGGCTTCAGCCCACTGACCATAGAAGTAACAACAACATAGGAGGAAATGTGAAAGTATGTGACGATGATTCAAAATACAAGATGTAGAATTAGACACACAACAAACGAATAAATAACTCACCTCCTTCGCGTCTTTGTTGGCTTTATGGTGCCCGTGGCTTCTCTTCCTATGTGGCATATTTTCTTGTCTTCAAAACCGTGAAGATTAAAACTGCTCTCGCTTCGGTGAGTAAGTCAGAGAGTTAGAAAGAGTTCCTCATCTGTGCCCAGGAGGTAAATTCTCCTGCCCCTCCTTTCTGTTGCAGAAAAAAGTTTTGGCTTTGTGACCACAGTTTATTATTTGGTTTGGGCAAATTGTTTTACAGACGCGCGCACTCACAATGTGTGTCAGTGTGTTTAACAAGGGGTTTAACTTCTTCGTTGGTTATTATCAGCTCAACACGGACATAGATTACTTCAGGCTGTTATTTTTACTTTATTTATAGGTTTTACAGCATTTGTAGAAAACTCTTGAGTTCCTCTGAGTGTTGTGTTGTTTAATGTTAGCACTGCCAGGGCACACCCACACGCCGAGGAAGAAGTGAGTCACAGTTGTCCTTCTTCTCTTTGCTTTCAAAGTACAACGCTGCCCTCTACAGGGGAAAATAAGGCAGTCATTTTTCTTCTTTTTCCTTTTTGGGAAATTTTAAATGCTGTTTGTGAATGAAAAGAATGTAACAAGAACTAAACTAAAATCCGCAGAAGAAACCAAACGAATACTTCCATCTAATTGTATTTGTTCTGAAGAAAGTATTTTTTAAATATCACTCAAACTTCTTTTGATTGCTATACAGCAGACCAGAGCTAGGTCTAAATAAAAATGTAATTCCATTTTTGTGCCTTTGTTAAGGCCTAACTAAAACAGATATATCAACAGCATATGGAACGTTTACGTTTTTTCTGGATTTCTGCTGTGTGTATTTAAACATAGACAAACCTCCAACTTCCAATATATGAACATGACTTGTACGTAGTATGATAGTGTCTTATGTCTGGTACATTGGTGAAGTGTGTCCAACAACAAACGTTTTCAACTCGTCCAGGGATCATCAGTGTAAGAGGGTTGGACAAATAGTTAAAAGACAGATGTTATAAATCAATGAAAACACATTTGACAGAACTTATATCTTTGTCTGGTCTTGAGCTGGACATACTGATTTCTGAATATTGTGAAAGAGGACATTGATATAGTTGGTGGAAAAACAGAAAGGGCAAGCTAGGAGATGAACCGCTGTAGCGACACCTGGCGGTAACAGCCGCAAGAAGAAAAATTCAAGCCTTGAGCTGAGTGTTATATACTGTTTTCAACCCTCAAAATCTTTAAAAACAAATCATGACAAACGTCAAATTTATAACCAAAATTAGTTTCAATTAATTATTTGGGGTTTTTGTTTTGTTTTGTTTTGTTGCGTTTTTGTATTATTATTTATTTATTTTGTAGACTTTTTAGTATTTGCCCATCTTAACTTGTAATTCCTATTTTGCATGGAGTGGATTTCATTTCTTGCAGCTCAGTATATCATGGATTGTAAAAAACTAAAACAAAAAAAAACCAAGAGTTTTTGTTCTGTTGTCTTGACACAGGCCTTGATGTGTGACTCATTGACTCAGGGTGGAGGAAATGATGTCCAAGCCTCTGTCACTCCGATGCCCTTCAAAGTCTACTTCATTCTACCTGATAACATTGGACAATGCCTGTGACACTGGAGTGACATTTTCACGTCACTCTCCGATAACAGCTGACATTTGCGCAGCACTGATTGAGCTTTGACAAGAATGAATCAAAACACATTTATAACCTGTTGTGTGCATATTTATACCAAACTGATTATCTCCTGCACACACATAGGCTAGGGTGAAATGTATGTCAACAACAAATTAGACTCCAAAAACTCGAAAACAAACAATTATGGGCAAAAAACCCCCCAAAAAACAACAGATTTTCTTCTCCCATGTTTTGAAAGACATAACGGGGTTAAAATATTTTGAATATAATTATTTACTCTAACCTGATTTATCCCATAAACACAACATTCTTACATGTTTTACATCTTTCAGACATATAACATTATTATTATAATACCAAGCAGTTATACAAGTATTTTTCCATAGTATACGGTACAGCAGTCATTTTTAGTATATACGTACATTAATCCTTGCTTATCAGCTTAAATGCAGTTGGACCTCAATTTATAGTTTTCAAAAAAAGTACATTATTTATTTTTTCCGTTATTTGAATAAAAAGGGGGGAAATTAGAAATAAACATTTGACCCAAATCCTTGATAGTTAACGACTGGTCTAGGAAATTGACTTTTTCCTACGTGTGCGTCATCCGGTGTCTAAAAGCATTGTGGGCTTTGTCTTCATCATGTGTATGGCTGGAAAAAATATTAGACCTCTGACCTCATCTCACATGTTTGTGTGTCTGTGTGTGCGTGTGTTCAAAGCAAATAGCAGTTGCTAGGTAAAGGTGTATTATAGCTTAAATGTGGTGCGGACCTGTTTACACACATCCAGATAATCAAAGGCCTCGGACTTCATCCTTTCATTTACATCTGGTGATAAAAATGATAACCATGGTGACTCCCCACATCATGACCACGTGAACCGAACTGTTTTGTGGACAGTGTTTCAGCCTTTCTTCATCTCATTTCAAATTGCTTCTCTGTGATTATTGCCTCTCTGCTGCTCAGCAGAAGGCACAGAATACTTAGAACACGCTGTGTACACCGTCCAGTTTAACCAGCAGCACATTAGCTGACAAACACCTGAGGTCAGCTGTACCCTTTTCATAAATCATTGTTGGAACATACTGTGTGGAATGGGAGCAGAAATTGCAAAACAAACAAGCTTGGTGTTCCATCATCTGTGTCACCTGTTCCAGCAGTGGCTTTTATACAACATTGGTGTATAAAAACAGATATAATAATTTAAAAACCAACTGCTGCTTTTTGTTCATTGATAATATAACAACTAAGGCTTTACCACATTTCAAGCTTTTCTTTTGCATTTTTAGGATTAAAACACTGGAATCGTTATAAATCCATGCACATGTTTAAAATCTGAGAAATGAAAAATATGCAAATGCATCAGGAAAAACAGCTAAGACAAAGACAAACAAAATTAAAAATTCTAAATTCTAAATGTTGACAGAAAAATGACAGAAAATATTAAAACATTAAAAGTCTTCTAAGGGACACATGTCAAAACTGTCGATCGAGACAAAACCTTTTTAATCATTTTGGGCTACACAAGTTACATTAAATAAAATGATGATTGTATGAACCCGGGCGCTGTCAGTGGTGCTGAAGTCTCTCTCTCTGTTTTCCTTTCTCTTATTCACGCGTTAACAATGACGGATGTGACGATCGACTTGTTTCCCGCAAGAAAATGAGTAATGCTTAATGGTGGTTGGACGGACAGACAGACAGACAGACAGACAGACAGACAGACAGACAGACAGACAGACAGACAGTTCAGATAGATAGATAGATAGATAGATAGACAGACAGAAAGATAGATAGATAGATAGATAGATAGATAGACGGATAGATAGATAGATAAGCCTTTCCCGTTTCTCAGATGAACACGGGGATATTTTTAGTCGAATCGGGTTTTTTTCTCTCTCTCCTCCAGGGATTCAAACTAACACGTTACACCCGATGGAGACGCCAAACTGACGTCAGAGCAACCAACCTGACGTGTGAAGCATCCACCTCTCCATCCATCCACCCCCACTACCGAACCAAGCCCTCCTCCCTGTCATCTGTGTTCACGTCAGCTCTACCTACAGGAGCAGCTGATTCTTCAGGAACAAACACAGCAACAGCGAGAAGAACAATATATTAAAAGAAGACACGGAGGACATTTAGCCACTGCCCCCACCTTCACAGCAGTCTGTCCATTTTTTCAGTTGTCTCTGAAACGTTGATCGCGTTATTTTCTTCCTCTGGCGTGAATCTGGTGTGAAATGGAAGTGAGATGTCCTCGTCCAGCGGTGATGTGTTGCGTCTTCGCCCTCCTGCTGTTTCCTGGTTCTTCTCTGCAGCAGCAGCAGCAGCGGGGATGGGGATCCTCTTACAGGGACAGACAGTATCTGAACGAGTGGGCAGTGGAGATTCCCGGCGGCCCCTCCGTGGCCGAGGGCATCGCCAAAGAGTTGGACTACCAACTGGTCCGACAGGTGAGTCCTGGGGATCAGTGTTTATATTAAGTATTACAAATGTAGTGCGAAAATTCCACTTCCATGATTATTTCTGATAGGAGTGCCCCATCTGTCTGTCCGTCTGTCTGTCTGTCTGTCTGTCTGTCTACCTGTCTGTCTGTCTGTCTGTCTGTCTACCTGTCTGTCTGTCTGTCTGTCTACCTGTCTAGTTGTGTCATTTTAGTATTTTGTTTTTTATTTTCACATATTTGGATGTATTTGCGACAATCTCTTGCCACCACACAGCTACATTTCCACTTTCGCCCTGTTTTAATGACTGTTGGGCCTCAGTTGAGGAAGAGAATTAAAAGTGGAAATACCAGGAGAATGTTGTTTTCTAGAAAAAACAAACAAAAAATCTTTGATTTCTGTACATAATTAGTTATTTATTGGCTAACGACTAGTCATTTATCTAAAACAAATTGTGAAATTATTTCAGCTACCTTTCAGCACCCGCATATTAAAACATACAGAAAATGTAATGTTAAATGCTCTGAGTGTTATTCTCTTTATTCTTATCAGTAATAAGACACTATTTGATATACAGGATTCTCTGGGATTCTTATATAGTAATAGCTTCAATAAATACCTGACAAACCAGTTGAAAAGACATTATTTAATTTTGCAGCCTGGCGCTACACACTGTGTTTTTAAAAATACATTACAAAAATACATTAACAGAAACTCAAATATACAGTATTTAGTGTTAGTAACGTACAGGATTCAAATCATCTTTTCACAAACATTTGCTAGAACAGTGATGTCACTTCCTCCCAGATACAACAGGTGAAAGCTAAGTCCTTCAAATATATATATATACACACACACATATATATATATACAAATTGCTAAAGCAAAAGAAGATCTGCACAGCAATACTGACAATAATAATAATAATAATTATAAATGAGGTAAATCTTCATGTTGGATTTCAACCAGAGTAAATAGAAATATGTGGATCAGAGGGTGACTGGTCTCTATATGTGGCCCTGTAATAAATTAGCAAAGTGTTCAGTGTGTCCTCTGTTGTCATCAGTTGGTGGTAGATGGTAAATAAATTAATTAATGTATGAATGAATGAAGGGAAGTACATTTTATTAGGTACTGTACCTTCAAATAGTAATCGACACTAGAGTTTTCTTTCTTATCAGAAATATGATTGTATTCTTTTTAATCCTGTTGATTTCAGGAAAAGATAATGAGAGAGAGAGAGAGAGAGAGAGAGCAGATGTCTTTCTCAGGAATCTCATTTAACTTCTTTGTTTTTCTGTAGATTGGGGCCCTACAAGACCATTTCTTGTTCAAACACCGAACTCATCCTAGCAGAATGAAACGAAGTGCCACCCACATCACCAGACGGCTGTCAGAGGATGATAGGGTAAGTGGTGCTCTGCTCCAGGGCGTTTGCTAGGCAGTCTGGGAAAATGTCCTTCTAATATTCAAATGACATCAAGATCACATCAACGTGGATTTTAGGTGATTATTTTCTCCAGAGATTTACAATATTGGATGATCTAACTGTCAGCGGCTACTCCTGAAATATTACAGATTATAAATACGATTCATACCAATGCACTGCATTTTGAAGTGCATATCATATCAAAACATGAAGAACTTGTTTCACACAAACCTCAGAACGTTGTAATAATTAAAAATATCAATTTGGTTTATACATTCTTCTACATTTTGGTTGCCATGTGACGACAGGGTATATTTTAGGACAGTGGTTTTCGAACTGTGGTACCCGTACCACCAGTGGTACGTGAGCGCTCTCTAGTGGTACACGGGAAAAATTCATATTTTCACATTTACATTTTCAGTTGAATAAACCTGTAACATTTGAAACACAATTAATACAACATTTAGAAAAAAATGTGTAGCTACTTGTGAGATTATGGAACAGGAAGCTAACAGTGAAGGCCTCTGCTGCTATAATCTAATGTTGGTCATCATGGTGGTACTCAGAGAGATCAGAGTTTTCTTAGGTGGTTCAGAGGATAAAAAGTTTGAGAACCACTGTTTTAGGACATTTTATTTATTACTTTTGTTGACGTCCAAAAACCAGGTGCTGTGGGCGGAGCAGCAGTATGAAAAGCGACGCAGCAAGCGAGCGTCTCTGAGGGAGTGCAGAGAATGTCCTGTGGATAAGCTCTTTGATGATCCCATGTGGAACCAGCAGTGGTACCTGGTAAGTCTAAACTAACTGTCAAACTTGTTTTTGCACACACTGTAGAGTGGGCAGAACTGGTGAACTGTTTAAAAGTGTAGGTCTGTAATTCTGTCATGTGTTGATCTTACAATTAATATGTCAAAGAAGGGTTTCAATGGCAGATATAAAGGTGTTATTAGTTATATGAACTCATACAGGGGGTCCTAGACTTAGAATTCAATTCCTAATGTAATTTGATTTTCACCGTAAGTTGGAACTCACATACTGCACATGAGTTTCTATGTCACTCACCCACGCTAACACAGTGGTGACATCATAATCTATGACATAAAAAAAAGAGTCTGACTTACACCTGGGAAAAGGGAAAAGCAAGTTGAAACTCATCTGTGTCGGACCGGTTGACAAGATGTTCGTTGTTCAGGTTTTTGAAATTCAAATTAAATGAAAAAGTCTGTTACACTAACGAAACCTTTCATTTCGGTTTCGTTTTAAGGAGACTGCGTTTGCGTTAGAACAGAGCAGATGTTTCTCACTGTGGGTAATGAAACAGGGTGACTCCCCATCATTTGACTGTTGCCGTTGAACAGTGGAAAAGCAATTTTTCACAACACATATCATAACAGAAAATAACTGAATAAATATTCACTTGTGCAGGCATAATGACAAGAAATACAACTTCTCACGATGGAGGGTGGTTTTGAAAACATACATGTTTGAAGATAGAGGGGTTGGTGGATGTGGTAGTTGGATGCACAGAGAGAAAGGTGGCGCTGTGTGTGACCAGGCTGAGTGGAGAAGGGGCTGGGTGTTTGGAGAGGATGATTATCCTGAGTATCAACTGGGAATAATAATTCTGTCATGGTGTGACTAATTTCTTCCTTCCTGCACCACAACATTGTCATTCCGCGTCACTAAATTGTGAGAGACGGCTTTTTAATTGTTGTTGCATCTGTAGGGTTTTTTAATATGTCTGTGAACCAACTATTGTCATCCTTTCAATTTTGTTGTTGTTTTGGTAACATCGATCCAATGGTAGAATTCAGTAGCAGTGTCTGGTCTGGTCTTTTTTAATGTAAGAAACAACGGTATAGAATTACATTCGATTTTGGACTTGATACTGTCAGAGCCACACGTATTGCCAGCTTATCATATAGAGAATCAGAGAGAAACAGAGAGCGAGAGAGAGAGAGAGAGCATACTCAACAGGGATGAGTCATATCTTGAGATGACGTGCTGCAGTGTTTATTGTATAATATGGAAGACCAGAGTGAGGTCGCTTTGAAAAAGCAATCTACTCTTCAGACACTGTGAGCCCTGCTCTGCCAAGCCCACGTAATTATGATCACCCTAACCAGCCATTACTCTTTCACACTGAAAAAACATGCAGCTTTAGGAAGGGATTCCTGACTGTAAGATGTAAGATGATAAAATCCCCCTCCCTTCTAAACTGCCTTTTAGTGTGAATGGTTTAATGGACAGAACGGGAGAGAACAGAGGCCTCTGTGGTCATGATGGCTACAAGTAGCTCTTTGGTCAAAGTGGACAGACAAAGACCAATAAGAAACTCTGTAAAGGTCAACGGGAGAAAAGCTGGATGCTGCTGACCTTTTTACACAAAACAGCCTGTTAAGATAAGTCATTCATTTGAAGTGTGCTGTAAGCCAGTGGAGTTTCACACTTCAGAATCAAAGCAACGGAGTTCCCAAGTCAGCCACATATACAAAATAAAAAGTTTGATAAAATCTTAGCGCTTTGTCAGTCACGGCCAAAGAAATAAAAAAATGTGTAGCTAGAGAAACCAAACAACACCATCATGAACAGACATAAATAATAACACAGCACCTGGATATCTACAGAAAAAAACTAAGCTACACCAAGAAGTAGTTATTTCATTTTGTATGCATTTATGCAATAAAATACAGTAATTTGCCCTAAAAGCACTAAAAACAAGACCAAACAATAGCATAAAGTAGGTTGAATATGGACAGTAGTTAAAAATAGCTCAAAATTAGCTATCACCTAAATTGAAGTCTGCCTATCAATAGATGAATATAAATGAATAAGGCCAAAAATATATAAATAAAAACTCAATTCCCAAAATACATTTTGCCAAAGAAAACCGTTGATAAGGCCCTAAGGTGTGACTAAATGCACTCTGTCCAGTGGACATTTTACTAAATGCCTGAAAACATTTTTATCTTTCAGCAAGACACACGAACGTCCTCCTCTCTGCCTAAGCTGGACCTGCATGTGATCCCTGTGTGGCAAAAAGGCATCACAGGAAAAGGAGTAGTCATCACTGTTCTGGACGATGGCCTAGAGTGGAACCACACTGACATCTATTCCAACTACGTAAGACTCCGTCTCCATGGAGACAGCCCGTACTAACGGGGCTTAGGCTCACTGATGCCATAGCAACACTGCTAGTGACGCTTTAGTGCATGACGCTATGATCTGGCAATGATGAATTATATTGATGTGTTATTGGTTAAACAGCATATATATAATATATAAATAGAAACTGCAACAGCAAAATTTATGTTAATTTGTTTTTGAATGGAAACTGCAATACATGTAGTATAAATAAAGTACTAAATGCTAAAAACTTTCAAAAAATAGATACAAATTTAAAAATAAAGAATATTAAAAAGTTTCCATCTGTTGTTTTAGGATGCAGCAGCCAGCTACGACTTCAACGACAACGACCCGGACCCTTTTCCCCAGTACGACTCCACCAATGAGAACAAGTGAGTTGATTGCTGAGAGCTGACACGTTAACGAGGGTTTGCAGGTGTTATTCATGTGCGGTGTCAAGTGTGGGGTGGGTTGAAAAAATGTACAAGAGTTCCATCGATCCCAAAAACAGACTGCATGTGTGTTTGGATATGAAAACGTAAATCATTCAAACCTGTTTCAGTCTTATCTGATGTCTCACCTGGTGTGGTTCTCACCTCGTCTTTCACCACATCATTTTTTTCAGGCATGGAACCAGGTGTGCTGGAGAAATTGCCATGCAAGCAGACAACAACAAGTGTGGTGTCGGAGTGGCATATAACTCCAAGGTTGGAGGTAAAACTGATTCCTTCAATAATGGGCCTCTTTCAGCAACAACAGTTTGAACTCCGTATGTGTCCGAACTGGTCGATCCACTCTCTGCACAAACACACAGCTGAGTTTGTTGCAGTATTTTAAAGAGGCCAAAGGAAGGGGCTGATTTTAATTTACACCAGATTACTGCTTAATAACACTCTTTAACAGCTGCATCTAAGGGCTGCAAAGTCAGGATGGACAGATGGTCCCCTTCTTTTTTAATCTATTAATGGCAACATGGTCCTTTTTGTGTCCTGAAAACTAGACACTGTTTATATGACTCAATATCCAGTGAAAGACTAATATGTCTGCCTCTCTTCACCGCCCTCCCGCCCTCACCCTACTCTCTCTTTTCCTCTCTTTGCTCTTGTATCAGGGATTCGAATGCTGGATGGGATTGTGACGGATGCTATAGAGGCCAGTTCTATTGGTTTCAACCCTGACCATGTGGACATCTACAGTGCCAGCTGGGGACCCAACGATGACGGAAAGACAGTGGAGGGCCCCGGGCGCCTGGCCCAGAAGGCTTTTGAATATGGTATTCAGAAGGTAAAGCTGTAGGTTTATCATTTTAACATGTAAAATGAAACTTTTACAGTTAAGCAACCACTTGTTGTTGTTGTTGTTTACTTTTGAAGGATTCTATGCACATTTCAAAGACACACATGTTCTCATTATTGACGTGTCCACCTGAGTGATCAGACCTCTGTCCTCCTTCCTTTCTGCCTCAGGGCCGTCGAGGAAAAGGCTCTATCTTTGTTTGGGCGTCAGGTAACGGCGGCAGACAGGGCGATAACTGTGACTGTGACGGCTACACGGATAGCATCTACACCATCTCGATCAGCAGCGCTTCTCAGCAGGGCCTTTCACCGTGGTACGCTGAGAAGTGCTCGTCCACTTTGGCCACAGCCTACAGCAGTGGAGACTACACTGACCAGAGGATAGTAAGTCAACACTCTCTCCCATCTCTCTGATGACATCACTCTGCCAAATGTACTGTCCACTTTGGCTGGACAGGAGTTTCCACCTGCCCGCTGACTGCTAGTCCAGTGTTTCCACACATTTCTCACATTTGTTATAATGTAATTGTATTCATGAATCTCTCCCTCTGTTTTTCAGACGAGTGCTGACTTGCATAACGAATGCACTCAAACTCACACCGGAACATCAGCCTCTGCCCCACTGGCTGCTGGGATTTTTGCCTTAGCACTGGAACAAAAGTGTGTGAAACTGCCGGCAATAAAAATCACAATTAAAAAGATGAGATTGTGATTAAAAATGTGATTAAAAATCTTTTTTCTTTCTTCTGGCTTTCTTCAGTCCAGATCTGAACTGGAGAGACCTGCAGCACATTGTCGTCTGGACCTCTGAGTTTGATCCTTTGGCCAATAATCCAGGCTGGAAGAGGAATGGAGCGGGGCTGATGGTGAACAGTCGTTTTGGTTTTGGTCTCCTGAATGCCAAAGCTCTGGTTGATCTGGCTGACCCAGGCAGCTGGAAGCATGTTCCTGAGAAGAAGCAGTGTATCGTCAGAGATGATTCTTTCCAGCCACGGTATTTGGCTCTACACTAATCTCCGAAAAGTCTGCATTAGTCTATTGTCTTGGTAAAGAGACAGTGTCACTGTCAAACACTCTTTGACAGTGTCCCGTCACACACTGAACCATTAGTCATGTTCAGAGTCTGACACTCACAGTGTCAGAGCTTAGGATTAGAACGGACCAATCAGAGCAGTCTGCAGCTCCACCATTCATAGATTTGAAGAGTTGTCTGTGTCTGCTGCTAAATATACTGCATTTCCACAGGGAGCTGAAAGCAGCAGGTGAGATCACCATAGAGATTCCAACTAAAGCCTGCGCAGGTCAGGAGAATGTGATCCTGTCGCTGGAGCACGTGCAGGTGGAGGCGAGCATCGAATACACCAGGAGAGGAGATCTGCACATCACCCTCACCTCCCCAGCAGGTGAGAATGAGGGGAAAAAAGACATGGGATAAAAAAACAAACAAACTGCAATATTGAAAATCAAAACTATTTGATTTTGTGCATTATATGTAATTTATAGATATATAATTTGCATTACATTTCTGTAATGCAAATTTAAGATTGCAGTCATATGTATATATATAGCTATATCTTATGTCATACAGCTCTTAAATCTGAACATTTTCCTGCAGGCACAAACACCGTGCTTCTGGCTGAGCGTGAGAGAGACACGTCTGCTAACGGTTTCAGAAACTGGGCCTTCATGTCGGTTCATACCTGGGGGGAAAATCCTGCTGGGACATGGACCCTGAAGATCACAGACACTGTGAGTCAAACAAAAACATTAGATTTTTACAAGTTTCTCTAAAAAAAAGAACCTTAAAAAAAGGACAAGATGTTAAATCAGTTCATCCCATGTACCGTACACATGTCCGAGATGTAAAGTAGACCCAGAAGCATCTGCCAAAACGCTTGCCTATTTTCCCCTTGTAGTCTGGTCGAATGGAGAACAAAGGCCGGATTCTGAACTGGAAGTTGATTCTTCATGGAACATCAGAAAAACCACAGCACATGAAGAAGCCTCGAGTGTACATCCCATACAACGCCGTGCAGAACGACAGACGTGGTGTGGAGCACATGGATGACATGATGGAGGTGAGAGCAGAACATCTGTTACAGAGGTGTTTCTGGGCTGATCATTTGTAATGTTTTGTCTAATTTGAACTTGTCATCAAACATGAACTATTTCTCAGTTGATCTTTCACTGGTTACCTTTAAGTTCTGCAGTGAGTAAAGTTCTCAACATGGGCTTAAAACCCACACTATCCTATTAACCTGAGGATTAACAAGCATACTTTTATTATCTCAGGTGCTGTGACACCTACTAAATAAAATGTCTTTGTCTATCTCCTCCTCCAGGAGCCCACACAGGCCCATCCACCTCCTCCAACAGATGCTGTACGATCTCCAGCCTCCTCCAAATTAGAGAAAGCTTCTGAAAAGCCCTCAAATTCCGCCCTCTCTCCCTCAGTGGCCCTGCTGCGATTACTGCAGACGGCCTTTAACAGGCACACTCCTCTGCAGGATCCCCGAGCCCCAACCAGAACCTCCTCCTCGGTCAGGAGTAAGCAGCAGCAATCGAACAGGATCTCCTCCCCCGTTTCCACCAGACTCCCCCCGCAGCAGCTGTACCAGGCACTGGATCTTATCAACAGGTACCGAGGCCCAGGGGACAGTGTCTACAACGACTACAGCGACGATTTCTACAGCAACAAACACTACAGGCACAGAGACGACCTGCTGCTGCAGGCTCTGGTTGACATGATAGGTGATGATGGAATGTAAAGTGATGAGGAGGTGAGAGGAAGAAGAGAAGAGGAGGGAAGAGGAAGAAAGGAGAGGAGAGGAAAGGAGAGGGGACAAAAGAAAACAAACAAAATAATGTAAAACAGTATGTTTCTGTGGGGGGGGGGGGGGGGGGGGAGCAGAGAATGTAAGAAGGAAAGAGGAAAAGACCAAGAAACTGACTCTGGACCAGATTTACCTTGGATCCCTTTTAGACTTAAATCAGCTGAGAGGTGGTTCCATTGTGTAGTGGATAACATGCCTGCCTTGCGAGCAGAGGGCACTCCTGGGATTGATTCCCAGAGAAACCACATCCCCCTAATGGCGCCTCCCCTGTGGCAGCCTGTGTCAATTACAAGTCATATTGCAAATTTCCCAATTGTGGAAAGAATAAGCCACTCTATTATTAATATTATTCTAACAAAAAAATAAATGCAAAATAAGGTACATCCTCACACACTGATCTGTTGCAGCTGATCTACCTTCACTCACCATAGAGTTGACATGCCACATTATGAGGCAGTCTCTGTTCAGTGGCATGTTGTTCAAGTTTAACATTACTAAGATAGGCTCGATCTACAGATTGAATGCAACAGCTCAACCTGATGTTTTGGGCATGTTACGTGTTAGTATGAGTGTAAGTGGGAGGCACAGAAATCAACAGTAAAATGACCAAATCATAAACAGCAAGTCTGTCCTGATCTGATCTAAATCCATTATTCTCAATTCTTCGGGATCGTTTAAGTGGACTGTGGTTTGTCTGAGTCAGATCTGGTTTGGAGTCAGTCAGCTGTCTGCAGGAAGATTAGGGATTGGACGAGGAGCTGGAGAAGTGGAGGGAGAAGAGAACAGACAGAGGGAAGAAAAACGAGGTCTTCCACTCCTCCACTCTGTTATTTGTTTTCTCCAGAAATGCTGCAGATCTGATGCTTTCATGATCATCCGTTAATCACAGCACCCTCATTTCCCTCTGTCCTTATCTCTCAAGAGAACCAGAGGACATGGTCTCATGTCTCAGCTCTTCACTGCCTGCTCAGCATGACATCTTTACATCTTTATTATGTCTCTCATTCATGTCATTCACGATTGAAATATGGTTCGAAAAAAATGCTGTTAGATGAAATTATACAGTCTGACTAAAGAAGTGCAGTATATAATAACATCATAATATTATTGATAATCTGACAGAACTAGTGACTGCACCAAGGATTATGGGCCAATGTAAAGCCATTCCACAAAATAGTGAGAAACTCTTACGTCACTGCCAGTATTTGTTTTATGCCCTGGTTTTTTGGGTTTTTTTTGCCACTACATGACACCAAAGCAACAACACAGGGTTTTAGTAACAGAGTAACGAAATACTGTTTTTCATGTCTGTTTGTCTTTTAAACTGAACAGTAAGTGAAATGTTTGAGGTGCTACTTCAACAAAGGTTGGGCAGGTGATAGTGTTTTTGTCTTAATTCTCTTTCATTGGATGATCTCAAACTTTGCGTTGAGAAGATTTTAAATTTAACGTCCCTCCACTTACAAACCAAGATTTTCTTGAAAATCTGTCTGGCACTTTTCTTCAGAGAGTTTAAATATATTTTATGCTCAGGTTACAATGCTGTTCTCATTTTACCAACACAAAGAGTAGAAGTTAGCTACGATCTGTGGACAATTTAATCTTCTAACAATTTAATTTTTTTATTCCAAACTTATTCTGAACTATTTTGACAATCAGGGCTTTATTGAAGGGACCTTATACCATGTCTTCATTGTGGTCATAATAAAACCCTGACTTGGACTTGAACCTCAAATTTATTTTCTTTGGCAGTTCTGTGTTCCTGTGAAACTAAAAAAGATTTGGACTGTGGGTTTTTGAATTAACATCTTATTCCAACAAGGTAAATGTCACTTCTCTTGATATTAACAAACACTGCCAACATTGTCTTGTTTTTATTCTTTTATCTATTTTCAAATTAGTCATGTCATTCACAGATCATCAAAAACTGTTTTTTTTAAACGGACATCCCACAGATGACCAGAGTTCTGCAAAGCCATCTTTTGGCAAATGCTACATGCTTTAATAAATGCTGTCATTGTTAAGGTTCGCTCCATTCTCCACAGATCATTTTATTGGTGTTAGTCTTTAGTGTTTATAATAATAGCTGTAACGGAGCCTGTGTGTAAACGTCCGACCCAGCCTTGGTCTGCCTGCCCAGCTTCTCTGCCAGCAAAGAGACAGGAAACAGAAGATGTTTATGAATATATACACTTATTTATCTATTTAGCTCTTTAGCAGAGCCTGTGCTGTTTTTATCATTTTGTTTTGTGTTTTGCTGATGCTTTACTCAGAAGTTGTTTACATTGATATTTATGTATAGGTGTATAAATCCAGGTAAAGATAATAAATTTATCATAATAAACTGCAAATTGACATCTGGGGTCTGTCTGAATTTTTTTTAAACTTGTTTATTTTTTCAAACCATTTGTCTTAAACATGTAGACTATTGTATTCGTCAGATTCCCAAGTTTCCCACAGTACCTGAACGCATTTTGTTAGACAGCTGAAACTTCTGCATGATGACTCCTAACTGGCACAAAATGGACAAGAAATGACCCGAAGCAGCAGACCAACTATTTATTATTATGTAATAATCATTGACTGGTGAATTAAAGTAAGAAATACATTCTAAACATTTTTAGTATGTTTCTTTACATATTTGGTAACATTCTCTGTGGGTTTGCAAAGGGGGTGTCCAGCCAGAGGCTAATGCCTTTTGGGGGGGCTTAGCATGGAAACATAGCCAGAGGCTAATGCCTTTTGGGGGGGGGGCTTAGCATGGAAACACTGGGAACCACTGGCTCATAATTACTAAATCTGGTTTCATGACTGGTCTTTCCATGTGGAGTCTGCATTTTCTCCAAGGACATTTTTCCAGTTTGGCTTATTACAAATAAAATTACACATTAAAAGACAGACAGAGTCAGTTTTATCTTCTTATTTATGTTTTTTTTTAATCATGTTGAAATTTATACCTGACTTTTCTCTTTCCTTGTCTTCTACTTATTTGCTCCTCCCATCTTCCCAGATTTCCTCACACATCTGGTCCTTGGTTTTGCTCCACTGCTGAACTCTGAGGAGGGGAGCAGAGAGAGAGGAGGAAGGCATGTGAAGCAGAGACAGAGGAAAATTTTACGTGGAAAAGCTGTGAGGAGGAAAAAGAAGAGGTAAAATAAGAATAGTGTGGTGGTACGTTTGAGGAATCGTTCATGAAGACGACAGACGTAGCAGAAGGGACTTCACTTTCTGAAAAATTGATTTGAGCTTTAGCTAAAGTTTCTGTGTGTGTGTGTGTGTGTGTGTGTGTGTGTGTGTGGGTGTGGGTGTGTGCGTGTGTATACGTGTGCTTCTCTATATCAGGTCACATTATGGCATTGTTTCCATTCTGCAAGACGTCCTCTGGTACGTATACCAACAGACATGCTTCTCCTCCGCCTCTTCTGATTATGTCATCAGTTTGGATTTCCTTTTTCTCTCATTTGTTGCTGAAAAGTGATTGGTGGAAAATCTTGTTTACTTTAATGATAAGAACAGTTGGATTCAGCCAGGAGAGGTGGAAAGTGCAGAAAAGCATTATAAACAGCACGATCTTCAGAAAGACAAACAAGAGCTTGGATCACTTTAAGAGCGAAGATCCTGAAAACCACAGAAACATGTGTGCAGAAATATTCACTCACATGAACGTAGCGTATTTGACAACATCAGAGATGTTTTTATAGGGTCCTCCTGGTGAACCAATGGTGATCTTTTATTTTAGTTTAAAAGCCAGACCTTATACACAGGTCACACTGTTGGTCCTAACAGGGCCTAACACACACCCACTGTCCAGAATGACTTTTACCAAGCAGTTTAGATTCTCTTTCTTTTGTCCGTCCGATTAGTTTGGGAATAGTGTGTGCTTGTCCTAAACCGTACTGTGGTGTCAGTTAATATTTATGTTTGTGTTTGTCCTTCAAACAGGAGCAGTCAGAGTGACCAGAATACATCTTGTCCTGTACAGTTTTCTCCTCTCTGTTATTATCTGTAAGTGTGCAGTAACCATTTAACTAACCTTGTATTAGTAACAAACCCTAACACACACCCACTGTCCAGAATGACTTTTACCAAGCAGTTTAGATTCTCTTTCTTTTGTCCGTCCGATTAGTTTGGGAATAGTGTGTGCTTGTCCTAAACCGTACTGTGGTGTCAGTTAATATTTATGTTTGTGTTTGTCCTTCAAACAGGAGCAGTCAGAGTGACCAGAATACATCTTGTCCTGTACAGTTTTCTCCTCTCTGTTATTATCTGTAAGTGTGCAGTAACCATTTAACTAACCTTGTATTGGTAACAAACAGAAAGAGAGGGGGTCGGGGGGGGGGGGCAGTGATGGACAGAGTGGATATTGTCTCAGCCTGTTGACCACTGAGATTGTCTCTATTTCTTAAGCCTAATATATTTAGTGTGAACCAGTAACTCAAGAACAGTCAAAGTTAGCCTAGAATAAATAAGAATTTAAAAAACTAAAGTCAGCAAAAATGTAGCCTAGAATTTTACAGACATAAGTGAAGGAATTTAAAAACCTTTGTTTCATTTGTAAATAAATAGACAAAGCTTGAAAACAAAATGTAGAAAGCCAGCTAAGTAAATAAATAAATGAATAAATAAAAATACACTTTCTGACCAACCGATTTCTTTGTTGCTAAGAAATTAGGGAAATTAAACTAACAATTTGACCCTTGCAAGAACAAGATTTGTAACTTACCTGAGCCTGAGTTGTGAGACTTTTATCAAGGCTAAAGGATTACACTGATACCAAACTGAAAACAGCTGTGGTATTGTTAATGTTAGCTTTGTTGTGTTAAAGAAAACATTTTTAAACATCATGTCTTTCTTCCTCAGACTTCCTCTGGGGTCATAAAGCCCCCGCCAGTGGTGAATCCTCTCATACAGTCTTCCACAGCCTGGGGTTAAAGAAGGACGGATTAATGACAGAGAGGATCATCATCAAGGCAGATCCAGAGTGGCCCATGGAGACACCCTGGGGTGCCCCGTTAGTGTGGGGCGACAGCCAGATCTCAACGTGGCGCAGAGCCAAATTTGCTCAACGAGAAATTCACACAGGCCTGCTGACCCTTGTAGTGGGATCCTACAAACATTTTTTCCATCGCTTCCTTTCATCAGCTGAGACCTTCTTCCTCCCGGGTCAAATTGTCACTTACTACATTCTTACAGACACCCCCCATTCTCTCGAACTTCCTAATAAGCTGGGTCCTGAGAGGCAGCTCAAGGTGATTCCCATCGCAGAGTTGCCCAGGTGGGACAGACTAGCCTATCGCCGCATGTCGTTGATCGCTGATGCCATCAGAGACCCAATCAGCAGCGAAGTTGAGTACATCTTCTGTGCTGATGTTGACCAAACGTTTCTGGCACCTGTGGGAGAGGAAATCCTCGGTGACTTGGTGGCCACCTTACACCCGGAGCTCTATGGGATGCCTCGGAAAGCATTTCCTTATGAGACGGAAGTGGCCTCATCAGCCTGTGTGGTTGAAGAGGAAGGAGACTACTACTACACCTCAGAGCTGTATGGTGGCCTGGTTGCTGAAGTGTTTAAATTGGCTCGTTCCTGTTCCATGCTCATCACACAGGATCAGGGCAATGGTGTAGTGGCAAGGGGCCTTGAGGAGAGCTACCTTAACCGCTACCTGATAGACCACAGGCCCACATGTGTGTTATCACCAGAGTACAGCTGGTGGGAATCGTCCTTGACCGCTGATGTGCCTGTGAGCAGAGTGGTCTCCTTAGGAAGACAGTGTTCGTCCTACGATAAAGAGACAAGAATAAAGCACAAATGCTAACTCACTATTCAACCATACTTTCTAAAAAATAAAACAGGACAAGTGCAATGCCTTGCTAGTTTCAGAACTTCATGTGAATGTCTTAGTGGTATTGACAGCTGGCCTTGAAATAAAGTTGAAGATGTATGCTGTATTCATTGATTTAAATGCAGTAGCTTTTTGGTTGAACTGTATGGGTAAAGTGGACAGAATAGGATTTGCACCGTGCATGTGGTGCCTGAGTTTTTTCTTAGTAGTTCTTGGATGAACACTTTATTGGATCTGCCTATTTAATCAAATGGCTAAGACGCATTTGCACCGATATCCACAACATGTTTTATAGAAAAAAGACATCATGAATCACATTGTACCGTGTGTTGAGTGTATCGTTACATCACTAGCTGCTTGTAAAGATGAACTCTGGTCATGACAAAGGCAATGCACATGTTCAAATCCCCATTAGCAGCGCTGACATTTTGTCCTATTAGCCGTCACCTACAACAACGCAGGACCACACGGTACAACTGGCTCTCAATTAAAATGTCATCCGTGTGAATAGCACCACAGTGAAGCTGCTGTATCTCCACTGCAAACAAAAAAAAACACAATTGACCTGTCCCTTTAAACCAAGCCGGGTCCTCTCCATAAATTACATCTGGGAGATACTGCCCCTGCAGCTTTGTGGTCGTCAGTGATAAGAGTCAACAGTGGAAGTACACACTTTCTTCACAATGGCCAATCATTAACTGGAAGTGCTGCTGTTTCAAGGCCTTTTAATGATAGTGGGCCAGAGAAATAGTGTGATTAGGTGCTGTTTCTTAACGTTATGTAAGAAGAAGTCATATGGCGATCTGTTGGTGAAATCATTGATTTTAATTTCACACAAAGCATTTTCAACAAGAAAATACAGTATGTCTTAAAGCCAAGAGTCTGTCGTAGAGTTCTAGATTTAAGTCGCCGGGTGGACTAGATGTCACACAAAACCTGCCCCCATATTCACCTTCCATGTTCTCACTCTCTTCTCTTTTTGAATGAAAGGGTTAACAGCAGCAGATGACTGTTTCTCACTGCCAGACAGAATCTGTCCTCTGGGCCAAAATGCCACGTGGAATGAATGAATGAATGAAGTTAAATGTTCAGACAATCCTTGGAAGACAACTGTTTTTATTGTTTTAGATAGACGTGGTTCGTTTTGCTGCAGATGTATTTGAAACCTTTATCTTTGTTTTCCATGAATACACACATTTATTTAGCCCCCAAACATCTTGCTTTTATTCATCGTACCCCAATACAGATGTTCAGATAAAACAATGGTCCCGTTCAGAATGCATCCGTCACGTTTGTAAAAGCTTTTGACAAAGGCTGTGGAAGTAGCTTAAAAAAAAGTTTGACAAAACAGTTTAAATAATTATTAGTTACATTCTTGCACGTTGCACAACAGTCGTCATCAGAAACTGAGACTGATAAAACTGCAGCAAAAGATTCCATAGACCAGGGGTCTGCCACCCTCAACAAGTACAAACAAGATGCTAACAATTACACACAGAAACATAGCATGCAGGCAATGATCAATACAAACGCAACAGCAGAAGATTCAATATGACACACACTACCACAACAACAATAAGATGTATAAGCCATGAATGCAAGTCATTTGGTCTATTTGCAGTAATCTCACAGAGAGAAGAGGCTGGGAAACCACATGTGGCTCAGGAATCACTGGCTTAGGGAAATGTACAGTAGGCATATAAGTAACAGATGTGTTTCTTCGATAATCAACTAACTAATTCAAACTGATACAAAAACAGTACTTGACCTTTTTGAAATATTTGAGATTTTGGTTTTTAAATACAAGTCTTACTATGGTATGTAAAAGGTTCAAAGACAGTAAAAAAGTTCAATAAAGGCTCTGGTTTTAATAACTAACGTGGATGAGTTGCCAGTTGACAGATTTACATCTGTCTGACCAGTTGAACAGTACATCTCCGTCCCACTCCCTCAGGTTCTCCTCCACCCGTCACGTCACTGTGTTATGCAGGGAAAATCTATAATATTGCTCTATTTTTGGCTTTGCATTCAATTATATTGTCCCAGTTTCTAATTTTGCCCCAGTGTGAATTTGAGTTTGACAGCCCTGATTTAGACAATTCATTTGATTTTCGGTTTTTATTTTAAATTTGGCAACAACACAGAAAGATTTACTTTAAAAATGAAATATTCAAGACACCAGCTGGAAATTGACTGAAACTACAGGCCACCCTGTCTCACTTTATGAGCACATAAAGAGAAGAACCTGCAGCATCCGGAAGATACTCAACCCAGGACATAACAAACTAATAACCCACTGTGCTTCTGAAGTAACTGCCTATTAGTGATAACCACAGGTTACTAATCAGTATGTTTAAGCGCCAGAGACATTTTGGTGATAAAACAATTACTCAGTTCCAAGTAGGTGTTATTCATTCAATTTCTATGCAGATTTATTGCATTAAAGTTTACAGGTGCATAGAATTTGTTATGAGTCAGAAAGACTGCATTTTTAGTGTGTATGCTAACATTAGCTTTACTGTGCTGCGGTCAATTCTGCATTTTAACTGAGGCGGTATCACACCTGGTTGACATGCCCTGCAATCAACCAGCTGTTAGTTTGGTGTGCGACAATTTCAACAGCTGAAATTGTTGCATTAGTCCAACAAAAGCTAGTTGTTATAAAATGTTCATTTATGTTAACTCAACTGAAATACAGCTGATTTGTATTTCAGTCGGACTAACTCACATGTATAGAAGCTGAGAGTGGACTAAATTCTCCACAACAGACTGACTGGGCTTTGAAGCTTAAGTACAGTAGCACTGCTGCATTAGTGACATTAGTTTACATACCTAAAAATGTAATTAAACTAATAAACCATTTTTTCTACAGCATTTGAAGCTTAAAATTGCTGTATGAGTACAAATGAATAAGAAAAAGAAAAAAAGGAGTAAAAACAGTCTATATTTATCTTAGCTATAGAGTAAAGTCCAAAAATGTGGAACTGCGGGTTCAGAACTGTTTCTTTCATCTGGTGCAGCAGGGGCAGCACCGAGCCCATAGCCCCAAGCTTTTGGAATTTTTGGAAGTTTCCTGCAGGGATGATACTGCAGTAAAAAATAAGCTGTTACCTTCAGGTCCTGCACTTAAAATTGGTGTAGGGCTGTTTTTTGGCTCATATTTATCTAAATTAAAACAAAATTAGGGCAATGAAAAAGCTTTCAAAAGCTGTAGCAAAAAAATATACAAATCTTCCAGTGAGTAAATAAACTTAAACTCCCAAAACAACCTAAAGTAAGCCCAAAATACAAATGGTACCTGGACCAGGTTTTAGACAACCTTGGTTTATACATGTCATGTCATGTCATGTCAACATGATGGCTTTTAGGGACAAACCTCTCTGAATAAACTAAGGTTATCACAAGCTTATGTGTGTGTGTGTGTGTGTGTGTGTTTGAGTGGGTGGGGTTCAGAGCTATGGTAATCTCTTGGACTCAGTCATGCCTCTCTCCACCCTGCCTGAGGCCAGGCAACATCACATCACACTGCCCTAATAACCAGGTCAGTGTAACTGACTGTGAGAGATAGTGGAGGTACAGCCCACATAAGGACACATTTGTGCTTATTGTGCCAAATGCACTACAATTTCATCCTATGTATTTATTTAAAAAAAAGGAAAAACTCTGTGTATGTTTGGTTCTGAAAGAAGTAACCACAGTAGTTTACGTAGTTTTACGTAGGCTACCAATATAATCAGATGCAAAGGATGCAAATACAGAAAGGAAATTTAACAACTTTTAAAAAGCAAGTGATTTGTACTGGTGATTTATCTGAATCAGACACTCGATGTATTTTTTTTACTGGAGAGAATCAGGAATGTCACGGAGCACGGAGCAGACACAACAAATGAAGTGATATTTTTGTGTGAACCAAAGAAATTCAATAGTGAACCCACTATTGTTAGGTACATAAATGTTAGATAAATATATACCTAACATTTGTTTACTTAGATACAGTTATAGTTTAAGCAATCTCATCATGTTTGACATTTTATTGTTATGTTCACATTTTTCCTGCTACAATCAATGGTCAATGTCTTTAATGAAAAGAAACAAGGAAGGAGAAAAAGAAGGAAAGAAGGAAGGAAGGAAGCAACAAACAAACGAACGAACGAAGAAAGGCCACAGATACTATGAAGTAAATGATAGGATTCAAAGGATCAAAGCTTTTTAGAATCTTGCTTTTTAGCTGATGAACACAGCAGCAAAATGTACATCACCCATATGTAGCCCATACAGTTTAATATATATTGGTACTGCGCGGTGAGACAAACCATGATCAGTACACTCTCACTTTTAGCTACCTTTTAATCATTTTGCTGATCTAACTTTAAGGTTTGCACTTAAAGCTATTGAACTCCTTTTGCCATGTTGTGTCATTACCATCGTATCAATATTATTATTTTTTAATATTTTGTTTTGTTTATTTTTGGTAAGTTTGTCCACGTTTCATAATTATGAACAACTTCACCGACTTTTAGGTTAACCCATAGTTACTTTTTTTTTTAACTTTTTGCCACAATTGATTGCAATCATTGCAATAGGAGTGTTACAGTTATAGTTTTAGTCATGGATAAAAGGTAGTTCATGTACAGTATAACTTCTGACTTCTAGGTCTAATTATGAAAAATATGGTTTAGTTTTATCATTGGCTCACTAAGGTTGTGTTTGGCTATTTTTACAGCTGCATCTCATTTGCTAAATTTAACCGTTTTTTAATACTCTTTAGCCTTACATAGATAACCGACATAGAATTTTGCAAATAACAGTGTGATATAGTCTTTGTAAGGCTGTGTGATAGATTTTTTTTCTCTCCTTAAATTTAGAAACACTTAATCTCAAGAGAACAAGACCCAACCAAGTCCGGTCACAGCAGAAGTCCCTCCCCGGCTCTAGGATCAGCCAGTGTGGACTGCTGTTGCTAAATGTTGCCGGCTCACAGGGGCGATGGTGGAGGGCTGGTAAAGATGGCGGCGCTCTGTGAGGATGGGAGATATGGCTTAAAGTATGGGCAGCAGAGCGATGACAGAGTCACCGTGTTGCACGTCAAACTGACCGAGACGGCGCTGAAAGCCATAGAGAGCTACCAGAATGGTCGGGTGAGTTAAAGTACCTCTAAATTTGGTGTAAATTGCAAAACATTTGTAAAAAAGTCCTGTAGTCACACCGTCTAAAGTGAGCTGTAGGAGCTCAACTGCCACGCACTGCTAACGCTATAAAAGTTAGCTCAGCTATCGACGAGGCGACGTCCAGCTGTTTATATTTTAATAATACTTTTGTGACAATGAATTTAAGAATGTGGGGAACATAAAAGAGGTTCAGGACAAGTTTTTAGTTTTGGTTCTATCAACTGACAGTAGTGAGTAAACCTTTTAAAGCTGCAGATGTAAGTTAGACACTAAGGTTAGCCAGCGTTAGCACTGAGACACTGGCTGCTGTTCTAGACAAGACATTCTTGTCTTGTTATTGTCAAACTTTAGCCGATTTAGAAAAGAAGTACTTTCAGACAACTAATCTAAATTTACAAATCACGTAACATAATTAAAGTTGATTTCGACGAGCTTGTATGTTGATGTCTGTTAGACATTAAACGGGACAAGTTCGGGCAATTTTTAGTGAAACAAGTTATTATCGTGGGAAGACCTTCCACAGACACCGTGTTTTACAGTGTTTCTGTAAAGAGAGGAACTCTTTCCAGTCAAGATTTCTTTTCATCTTTAAAATATTGACAGTTAGCAGGGTAAATAAGACCAGACCAGTTTTGCCTTTCATAAGAGATAACTGGTGATGTGCAGTGCTTCTGTAAAGAAATGTGCATCTTTTGTATTCTCTTACTTAAGACAGAAATATTAGTTTATGAAGCACACAAGAACATTTCAGTTGATGTTATTTTTTCATAATATTTTGTTTAAAATTTATTTTTTGTCATCAGAATTTGTCTGGAGATCATATTTTTCCTAACAATCATGATAAAATTGTATCTTGAACAAAAAACAAATCCCATATCATTTCGTGAGTTGAGTGCATTGTTTAATCCCTAGTGGAGATGTTCCAGTGATATCCCCGTTGACCCACAGCCCTTATCTGTGTGGTAACAGGGACTTTTGTCAGGACACCTGTGTTAGATTTAATGCATTTTTTAATAAGCTTATTTGTCTCCAGCCTTAGTGTCTTCTTACTGCACGGGTTGTCTCCTTATGAGCTGTAAATGGCTAATAATAATAATAATAAAAACAATAACCGATAACTGAAGGCTGATATTGATATCTATAACATACCTGCAGATAAGAAAGAGTAATGGGCAAAAGTGGACCTAAGATATCTAATGGCATCAGTACTACAAACAGAACAAAAAACAGTATAATTAACACAGAATAAATTAATGAATGTTTTGGAAAGAAAAACTATTAGCAACTGTTTGTTATTTGATAAACTATTTGATATGTCAATTGAATATATATTGAAAGATGTATAATTAAAGAATAATAAAATAAATGGATAATACAAAATGTAGCAACTGGCAATCTCATATGCTTTCAAAACTTTGATGATGGTTAAGTTATGTATCTACCATTTGTTATTTGTCTCTCCGTTCAAAGAGTATACAGATTTTAAATAAGCCACAGATTCCCTATGAATCTTTTTTTTTATCAATTGACAGGTCTATAATAAATAAAAAGCTAAAAAGAGGCAAAATAGCTCGAGTTTTGGCAGAAAGAGCCTGTCCTACAAACCTGAATGAGTGAAGTGAACAAAATGTAGTCGGGTCTTCCTTCATACTTCTCAGGGTCTCAGAGCTGGGAAAACAAAGTTACCTGACCTCAACTCTACCAACCACAACAGCATTACGTAACAAGGCGAATAGGCATCGGCCTTTGGTCAGCCTGGAACTGTTCAGACTCTGCCAGTTCTTTTTATGGCACATGCTATGTGTATGAATAGCACACATGATCCCATATGTGAAACTGTGTCTGCACAACAGCTATGTAAAGTGAAACAGCTGTTGTCCCATACATCTTTGTTTGAAATACAGCTATAAGGAGGGAATATCAGATTATCAGCCTCAACTTTGTTGAATGTGGTTATGTGTGTTCTATTCAACAGCAGCTTACTGTCTTTTTTTAACCTTCTTGGTGATGTGTGTTGGAGATTTAGTTGTCAAACATTGAAAGATTGCTGACTTTGTCTTTCTTTTGTAATGTGAACTGTTAGCAGAACTGAATGTATGCCTGTCTTTGTATGCGGATTGCTTACTGTCTTTTGGAATTAGTGTATAGATAGTGGGGGAGGGTGTCAGCCAGAGTTTTGGAGAAGCTAGACCCTCCCGTATTTGGTGGAAACCTTAGTGATTGTTTCAACCAAACATGTAACACATTTAGAAAAACAAATTGGTGACATCTCAAAAATGAATAAATGAAGATAAAAATGTTCTAAAAATAGTCATGGCAATGCACAAAGTACGTTTTAATATCTCTAACTGTAAACTAAATGTATTTTGTCTAGTTGCATTTTTGTCACAACGGAAACTACACATATCTGAGACTAAATACTTATCATAGTTTTCTGCTTGAATTTTTTGTGTCCTCTTTGCAGTGTTAATGAATATAGTGTAGTGTATAATTTAACCACTGATTTCATTGTTTCTTCTTGGATTTGGGGGATTTTGGGCTAGTTTCAGTGAATTATTATCACAATGTAGTCATTTATATTTCTTCTTGCAGAATGTACCATCCTTGCAGCCGGCAATACAATTTAATGGACTTCAAGGGGTAGGTTTTCACCTTATTTTTATGCAGGATATTCTTAGAAGATATGTATGTAGCCATTCAGTTTGAAGAAACATGATTTAGGAGATCCAGGCTCAGTTAAGGTGGTAGAAATAATTGTGTTTTTGATGCATGACACTAGTCTCTTGAATGATTATAAATTGATTTAGAGCAGTCCATTGACAATTATTCACAAAATATAACTTTGATGTCTCTCACAGGAGCAACAGGTTAGGCTTACTATGGTGAAGTGTCCAAAATACATAACCTGCTTCACAATGTCATGTACATTAACCAGTTTGCTATTGAACCGTAACAGGTGTAATGGAAGCATATCAGTTATGCTTCAGTAACCATGTAGAAACAGAAACAACGATATGATTTGCTCCAGTACCTAAAGCTGCCATGCGTCAGCATTTTAGCCTTTAGAAAAAGTTGAGTTTGACCAGGAACAGGATATTTACTTTCAGAAAAGTTGAAACACAGACAACTTCCACAAAAATCTCTCATTTCATTTCTTTATATTTCTTTACAGCGCATCAAAATTCCAAAGACCAATTCTTCCTCTGATGCCTTTAACAATTTTGATTTCTACCTGTCTAATGTGGGCAAGGACAACCCTCAGGGAAGCTTTGAGTGCATCCAGCAGCATGTATCAAGGTAACGGTCATCATTGGTCAGCTGACTCACCTATAAGCATTTAGATTTTTTTATTTTTTTTTTTAGAACAAATCACTATTTGCCTGACATTTATTATTCACACTCTCAATTTGTATTCAGTTCAGGGGCTTCGAATTTGGCATTGTTGGCAACCGTACAGGGCAAGGTCACAGTGTGCGCCACCAATGACTCATATCAGGTGACCCGAGAACGAATGACCCAGGCTGTGGAAGACACACGTGAACGTGGGACCAAAGTCATCAAACCTGGGGGTCAATACAGAGGTGAGGCTCTTAACTGGACTCCTTTTTGCTTGCAACTGCCACATATAAGTTAGAAAAATGGGTTCATGATAAAATAGTAACTGCTCTCTAATTCCATACTTTTCACTATACAGTGCTCAGCATAAATGATTTATTAGAAAACCTTTAGTTTCCTTTCAGAATCAAAATGTTCTATGGAACAATACACTACAAAATACTGCCACAGATGTCAGCCGTACTCTCACAAAAAAGTTATTTGCCTAACAGATTCATTCGGGCCCATGTTGCAGAAATGAGTACACCCTATTGAAAGTCATTGGAGAAAAGCCAATCTGTTAATATCTGGCTTCTTTTAAACTCCTCTTACACTTGACTTTTCCTACACGTCTGCCATGGCAGATCAACAAATGCTGTGGAGATTGGTCTGTGTGCCTCTATAACACTTTTTTTTTTAACGCAGTAGTGAATTTGTTTGCACATTTGCTGATAGTTTTCCTACAACAATTGCCCCACCATTCTTTGCTTGATAAGGTTTGTCAGCTGTAGACTGCTAATTGGTGGCATGCAGCCTGTTCACTGATCTATCCAATAAGTCACACAAATAGTCTTTTTCACTTCTTGTTAAATTTATTGACATTGTTTGATCCGGTCTCACTTGCAGGTAGTTGCAAACTGCTGTACATTGAATTTTATGTTTCCCATCTTAAGCTCCCATCTTGCGAAGTGACAACAGCATAGTGTATGTGTATGTACTGTATGTTGAGTAGCCCAGCAATCTTTAATGAGGTCATCAACTTTTGTTTCAAGGAAAACAAGTCCATATCCGTAAGCCGGCTTTATCAACCCCTGAGGTGGTCCCAGAGCGCAAACGTTCCACCCCAATTAACCCTGCCAACACCATTCGTAAGTGCTTTACCAACAACCCAGTCTCCCAGAGATCGTTCCGCGACCGCATCATCCACCTGCTGGCACTGCGTACCTACAAGAAGCTTGAAGTGCTTGCCCGTTTACAGAGGGATGGTATCAACCTGAAGGATAGGAACTCATTAGGGAGCACCCTGCAGCAGGTACTTTCATGTTTTTTTATTGTCATTTTACTGTTATGCCTTTCTCAAAACAAAAGTGTGTCACGGTGGAATCTTCTCAGAAAATTGATATTTATTACCCTTGAACAGAAAAAAAGGCATGGGACATTCATAGACCTTGAAAAAAAAGTTGTCTATTTTTTTGGATGTGACAAGGGCACACATTTTGCTGAACGATATATTGTCCCACAAATTATTGCCACTAAATGATAATATTGTCAACTTTATTTTGAGACCAAAGTAACCACTAATATAATGATAATATATGCTGTCATTTCTAACTGTGATACTGCATGTTGTCTGTCTGTGCATATGGATGGGTGTTTGTGGGTTTTTTTTTTTTTTTTTTAAAAGGTAGCAAACCTGAACCCAAAAGACAACACATACTCACTGAAGGACTTCATTTTCCGTGATGTCCAGCGAGACTGGCCCGGCTACTCTGATGAAGACAAGACCCAGGTTCACCGGATCCTTGCTCGGTACCAACTCTTTTTCCAATTCTAAAATCTCAAAATGTTCTTTTTACTTATTTCAAAGTAGCCCAGCTCTTAATACCAAGCATTAATAAATACCTGCTATCAAAAAGCCTTTTTGTGTCACTGTTTTCAATAGTACCACGTTATAAATTGCACTACTTGGAGGTCATGGTGTCAATTGCTAATTACCATCTGTTCTTCACTGACACTGTCTTATCTTTCTTTAACAGCAAATTAGGTCTTCCAACTGAAACCCTCTCATCAAACAGCCCTCCCAAAGAGGGTCTCCCCACTTCACCCTTGGTATCAACAAATAACCACCTAAACAACAGCACCAAAGCATTGAGTCTGAATCATTCAATTCTGAGTTGTTTTTCATTGTCTCCTACAGAAGCAACAGCTTGACTTTGACTTTATTGATCCTCTGGCACCGAAGAAAGCCCGTATTTCACATCTCAGCAATCGAGGATCTGCTGCATCTTCATCCTCCTTTTCTGATCGCCGTGAGGATGAGAGCACCCCGAGCTCTCAGAGCTCATCCTTACCTTCCAACGCCACCTCCAGCGCTCCGATGCATCTTCCTGTTTCATCCCACCCTCCAGCACCCTCACATCAGCAGCCCAGCCCTGCCTCTAACTCCAACTCTCCCAGCACCCCTGAGGGCTGTGGCACCCAGGATCTGCCCACAGATCAGAGCTCTTCCTACAGGGATCCTTCACCTAGTCCCTTTTCAACCGATGGGACGTTGCAGGATTGTTTTGGTCAACCCATTCCTCAACCAGCCTCCTTCCCCACCCTTCCTCCGGCTCGAACCTCACTAACGGTGACGTCCACTGTCGTCAGTAGCCCTCCCTTGTCCAGTGGTACAAACAAAAAGGTCAAAAAGAAATCCAAGAAACACAAAGACAAAGATCGAGAAAAAGACAAAGTAAAACAGACAGAAAGAGCCAATACTTCTTCTCCCAGTCCTGTGGAGCTTCGCGAGGAGAGTCGTAAAGCCAAAAAGAGACCTGCTGCTGAAATGAACAGAGATGAAATCCAAACAAATCCCGACCAAGAAGGTGTGTTTCACTCTTTAGTTTACCTGCATAATTATATATTTAAAAATACTGTATTTAGATTTAATGCCACTAATTTACTAAAACAGTATCCGTAGTTAAAAAGTGCATTAGTTTAGTTTCATCATCCACTTATTTGCTTTTTAACAAATTAAAAATAATAAACTAATTAAAATAAAATAATAAATAAAATTATCTTTTTTTATTTGCTTATTAACTTTTTTGATGACTGTCTGTTTACAACAACCCTGGTATTTAAAAACACACTTTCCTTCATTATATACACACAACCAAATTACCACCGAATGCACCGAACGTCTTTTTTAAAGGTCAATTCTTTTAAGAAGTAACTTAATGTAGTTGAAGTTCCCCGGTAAACATAGTGAGAAGTTTTTCTGTTTACCTACAGACTCCTGTAAAACCAGTTGAATTACTTGTGATCTACCTTTAAAGGTTTTAACATAATCTAGGTCAAAGTCTAATTTACATTTGGGAGCTGCAATAAATGGCCAAAAAAAAAAACAACACAAATGAAAGAATGCATAATCCAATGTACAACCAACAAATTTAAACAAAGTCGTCATCTACATATAGCACATTGTATTCATCCTCTCTGCTCACCAACTTGTTCCTGTGCGAAATTTGTTTTAACGGAAACAAATAATAATGGAATGATAAAACAAAACTTTCTTAATAAATGTATGGGAGATGGGGATTGTATTACTTTGCTTTTGCAACCATCATTTAAGATGGAATGTTGACAGTTCATGTGATTTTCACATGTTGTTCGTCCTCTCAGAGTCCTCAGACAAAGAGAAACCAGTCCAGTCCACTGAATATTCCTCCACACTTGCAATACCTGACTACAAAGTGTAAGTCAACCTTGGAGCCATGGTTTGTTGGTGCCTGTATTATGTATTGACTCTGTATGTTTGAGTATGTGAAGTAGGGGGAGGCTTAGGGAATCTTTTCTGTTGACAGGAAATACACATCGTTGGCGTCCATGGACCAGCGGCAGAGCTACAAGGATGATTTCAATGCAGAGTATGATGAGTATCGTCAGCTGCACGCACGTGTAGAAAGTATTACCCGCCGCTTCACTCAGCTGGATGCCGAGTGCCAGAAGTTTCCACCTGGCACCAAAGAGTACCAGGTCACATTTCCATACTTATCCTTAACTTTTGTATAGTCATCTAAAAATTATTATCTATGTCAACACATCGATTTCACAATTGTTGTTTTTTTACCCATTGTGGTGAAGTGTAAATACACGACTAGGACTTAAAGATAGAAAAATCAATTTTCTGAGACCTAACTCAACCTGGAGAAACTCAAACTGAAAGACTTGATTTTTTTTTTCTTGAAGCCTTGCTTCATGGAAAACACCTGGATTGAAAATGCCTAAACTAATTATTTTTCTTAAAACATTTGAACTTTGAAACACTAGACATTTACTCTGACAGTGAGGGCTCATCTCAAGTGAACTGGGGAATAGGGACTTATTATTTGGTGACTCAAAGGTAACTTCAGTGGATTGTTCTCTGATAACCTCGCTTCACGTCTACACACTAGAGACTTCATCTAGAGACTACTCTAGATTACAGGCTTTTATAATTAGAAAAAGGCTTATGCTCACAGTTTTTTTTTCTATATTTTAACACCTAACAAAAGTATTCAACAGCAAAGTATGGTAATATTTGGTATTTGAATTTCTATATATTCTTGTTTTGCAGAAAACACAGGAGGAAGTGTTGAAAGAGTACAAGAAGATGAAACGAGTGAGTCGTGAATAACTCATCCTGGTTATTTTTCTTTGGTTGTAGCAGTTGCTGCTGTGTTTTTGGGTGAAGGGTTGTGACTCTCATTCCATTTTTCTTCTGTCTCATTACAGAACAGCCCAAACTACCATGCTGAGAAACAGCGTTGTGAATATCTGCACAACAAGCTGGCCCACATCAAGAGGCTAATAGCTGATTTCGACCAGCGCAGAGCTCAGTCCTGGTTCTGAGAGCCAGGCATGTGACATCTTCACTAATCAGTATTTGAAGATAGTGTTGGCCCAGGTGGGGTGGTCCAGTGTGTCTAACCTAGTCTAGATCTTGAAGACTCTTCAGTTACTGCCTCCACCACACACCTCTCTGCTCCTCCTCCTCCGCTTTCTCTTCTGTCCTTCACCTGTTTCATTCCTTTCTTCTGTCAAACTTTGATTTCACAAGTTTTAAGGTGGCTTGCAACCATGAAAATCTTACATTTTAGTTTTGGGCCCATGTTTGGCTTATCTTAATGAATCCTGATTAATATATTGCCACTGGACCATTGGAAAGAGCTGTCTGCATGTGTGACCGGGGTAGAGGGAGTTAAACAAATCTTTGACTCTTCTACTTTTTGAGGATTGTAAAAAAAAAAAATACAAAAAAAACCAAAAAGATCAAAAAATATTTTTGAGCATCAGAGAAAGTATGTATTTGTATTTGAGGAAAAAAGGCAGAGAAAGAGAGGGATATCTATTTATTTTTGGATTCAAACTGCAAAAGGAGTCCACAGATGATTTTTATGTTTATCTTTTCTTGAAAACAATGCAAAAGTAATTAACCACAATCTTTTGTTTTGACTTTTTTGAAGCCATTTTGCACGAAGATTCATCATGATCTCTCATTTGGCAAAGATATCTGAATCACTTCCTGTTTCTATAAGCAACTAATGGAGAAGGCTGGCTGTACACATGAAGTGTCCTTAAAACAACACACAGCTGTTTCAGATGTTTAGTGGTTGCACGATGGCATCATCTCTCTCTGTTACATTTATTCAAAAATCCATTTGGAAGGGCTTGGTGTCCTCTTAAACACTACGGCTGGACCTTTGACAATCAACTGTGAAGAAAACATTTGTCCCATCACCTTGTTGTTCAGTCTCATAACTAAAGTTGTCTTAATCAGCTTTCTGATAATTAAGCTGCACAAGCAAAATGAAACATAACCATTCGAGCTCCAAAAGTAACCAGGACAGCAGTCGCATTTTTAAAGAACTTCGTGGGGTTCCATTCACTTAACTCTATGGCTTCAGAACAGCGAGTGTTACACAGTTACAAAAACGTCATAAAGACACTGAGCCCATCCACAAGACGTGTGGGTGGGCTCTAATGTCAGTCATATTTCCTCTCAGGATTCTATGCAAAGTACATGTGGATACAGTGTGTGGTCCACTTTTGACCGGTGTAGTCCAAGTAAACCACAAGGCCTGTGGGCTGTAGTCCATTTATTTCCCACACACAGTTGTCTTACCTAGCTGTTTTTGTCTTGGGAAAGTTTATTGTACACCCGCCTTACAGAATGGCATTACAATCATGCAGCAGATAATGCATTAAAGGCACAGTGATTTTTTTTTTAGTAAACACAGGTGTTACCAATTCACCTGTGCATCCAAGTTGTTACTTCTTACAAGAACAGGTTGGGTGATGTCATCGATCTGTAGTTCCCTGATTATTTATTCAGGTCTGTGGACATGAAATCACAGCCGTTGTTGTTTACCATTTGTAAATATTACTGAGTTTAAGGAGATAAGGAGAAGCTACCTTCAAAGGACACGTCCATGTCCATGTGACTTACTTATATAAACAGCTGAAAAAGCTGACATACAGATCATGGATCTAGTGCCACTATACAAAATCTACTACACTGTCTAATAACAACATTACACTGAGAGGAAAAAAAAAAAGATGTCGCTGACATCAGCGTGTTTCCTTTGGAGCAGAATTTCTTGCTTTGTTGTGATGGGAAAAGGAAACTGGTGTTAATGGACTGTCACTCAGAAAAACACTTAGGAGCACCTTCTTGATACTGATGGTTGATAATTCAGATTTCATTCCAGAATGTACAGCAATACTACAAACTTTACACATGAGAAGACCCCTAATGTTTGGGGGTGGGGAGGTGAGGGGTTCTTGCTGGTTTTGTCGATGTCATTTCATTCTTGTTGTAAAGACACTTCATGTGATGGCCCCTCGCCTTACATCAGCAACACTTTTGTTTGAGGCTGATGCAGCAGGAAATGAGACATGACACAGAAACTACCAGACCTCAGACAGAAGCAGCTGCACCATGTCAAACCCCCCCCTATTCACATGTATTGTATTAAATTAGCTCCAGTGACCATAGGGTGAGGTAGGGGCAGGGTGACTTGATGTAGACTGGTCTTCCCTCAGTAGAGGGCAACAGTGTTCGGAGTTCAAGTTGTGTTCAAATGCCACCCAGTTGCAAAGTGAAGCACTGGAAGTCTCCCAGAGGCATCTGTGCTGGTTTTACAAGTGACTGGTTAATGGATTTAAGTCTACCAAGAAAGAAAAGCCACGTAACACTTTTTTTAGTTGAATACCTGACCTGATTTTAGGTTTGCTTTGTGGATATAAAAAATATCAATTAAAGCACTTACACTGGCAATGTCAGACTGCAGATCACCGGTCATCACTGTCAGTCTAGGCTCAAACCTCATGTGCCTGGAAACAAAAGCCTAAATTGTCAGTTCTTTAAAGATCACTCATTATACTTTATTTATTTTCTGCTTGTCAACACATTTTGCTTCACAAGCTCACTAATGACTCAGCAGTTGAGTCTCCTTGAGGGACAAGTCAGAAGCGCCTCCCACTAGTGATAGACTTAAATACATATGAAGGTTCTATTAAAACCAGCAGAGCTTCTTGGGTTCAATTTCAGGTTTAATGACTACATCTGAAACTCGTGACTTATTGTTGCATTTTATGCCCTTAAGGTATTTACATTCAGATGTAATGATCTATGGGCCATCCCTTATAGGCCAAAGGCTATGTACGCAAAGGTACTACGACCTCCTGGAACAGGACGTGTTTATGTGAATGAATGAGTGAGA